TTAATCTTTGCAATGCAGAGGAAACACAGAAGCTGCATCTGAAGTGACATTTAGATGCATTTACACACTGTTTAACGCAGGACATCAATGTTTTAACCTGCAGTTACAAAAGCATTAATACTGTTTTGATATTTTAAACACAAAAAATAAATAAATATATATATATATATATATATATATATATATTTATTTATTTTTTGTGTTTAAAATATCAAAACAGTATTAATGCTTTTGTAACTGCAGGTTAAAACATTAATGTCCTGCATTAAACAGTGTATAAATGCATCTAAATGCCCCTTCTAATGCAGCTTCTGTGTTTTCTCTGCATTGCAAAGATTAATTTTGTCAATACTGATTTCACTTGTTTGGTAACAGCCCAAATGACTTATTTTTGCTCAAGAGCATTAAATCCACATGCCACATAGGCTGCACGATAAATCGAAATGGAATCGAGATCACAATTCGACAGAAGCTGCGATTGTCATGCGTATCTTTCAGTGAAGCACGGTTCTGTGATCAGCAGTAAATCTCCATCCAAAGGCCAGAGGGCGCTCTCGCGCTGAAACTCCAAATACGCCTCGGAGAAGTGACTAAGAACGTGACTAATAAACACACGACTACGGCAATATATGGTTTATCTGAGTTCTTATTATTATAATTTTCATTAAAATAAAGTATATTTATAATGCAATGCCTTTATCACTGCTTAAATGCTATGAAATATGTTGCGTGCCTTATTCTGTGTAAGAAGCCACATCATCTCACAGAAGGATTTATTTCAAACACTCGACTGACATTATGAAGTGAGTTTGGAGTAAAAATATGTTATTAAATGTGGTATTTTCACGTGCTTTCAGATGGAGCAGCATTTACTACACAGAGCCGTAGTTCACTGACAAGCTACGCAAACAGCTTTCATAATCGCAGAACGATTTCTTCGATTTCATAATTGCTCGATTAAATCATCTGCGATTATTTTGCGTAGCTTGTCAGTGAACTACGGCTTAGTCTCGCGTAGCCAGACCTTCAGATTGACGGCTGAAGGTCTGGAATCCATGGCAGCTTTCATTGGCCAAGGTCCACCCATGAGACTGTTTCACCGACATGTCAAACAACTAATCACAGTTCGTTTCGTTTCAGCGTCACGTTTCGGGGCGTGGAAATGTCACCACATTAACAGACAAGTGTGTAAAACTCTTGGACGTATTTTAAAGATTCTGTGCCGCGAACTAAATATTTCACATACTTTTGAAAATCCAGCGTTTAGTTGATCCTGATAAGCACTCGTCACAGTAGTAAACACAACGGCTTTATTCTTTCGTGAGGGGGTTTGGCGTCACGGCATCTTTGTTTCCAGGCGGAACGTTCTGAACGTTCGGAAATCCTGTATAATTCAACCTAGGGCTGCACAATTAATCAAATTTCTAATCGCGATTACAATTACAGATGCCACAATTACGTAATCGTTCAAAGCGGCAATTAATCGTTCAAAGTCCGCTTATGTTATCCTGCATGCTTATGTGGTTTTTTTTTCTTTCCACTGGTTATCTTAAGGGTTTTTCCATTGTCTTAATTTGAGTTTTAGCATAACATTATAATACCATGTATATTTTTTTACTTTTTATTTTAAGAAGAAACCAATCCAATATATATATTTGACATGTGAGGCTTAATACTATAGAAAAGCAATAAAAGTTTTTCAGTTAGAGTGTTTTCAGCTGGTTTATTTTCATATAAGAAATATGGCATGCAGTTGCTTCAAACATAATTCAATGTAAATTGTGATAATCGCAATTACAATTTCAAGGGAATAATCGACAATTATGAGTTTTGTTATAATTGCGCAGCCCTAATTCAACCAATCCGATGACGACTTCGAAACTCCTGAAGTGTTTCCACTTTTGTGTGCCATATGCATCAGACGTTTAGCCAACGTTCCGTGGGCATGACGTCTGAGGCTGAGACTAACTACGTCTCTGTGTAGTAAATGCTGCTCCATCTGAAAGCACGTGCTGGAGATTTACTACTAATCACAGAACCGGCTTTACTGACAAGATGCGCATGACAATCACATTCGATTAATCGTACAGCCTTACCGGAAGCTAACAATAAATTGACTTTTCAACCTATTAGATTGTGTTTTATTAACGTCTACACCTACCCCAATCCTAAACCTACCCCTTACAATAATGCAAAAATAGTAATTATTGTTGTACAGTGTGAGAAAAATTACGCTATATTGATGTGCGCATGCCCAGTAGTTTTTGCTGTATCCCTTCTAGCCTTAACCACCCCAAACCTTGTGCGAATTCCAAACAGCTTTTTTGCACCCTTAAAGGGCAATTTGGAAAGGGGACGGCATTTGTAGGGATGTTCCAAACGAAAGTGAACAACTGAATCCCTTCGAGAAGTCCGTTAGCGAAGGGAACATGCGATGGTCACTTCATGGAAGTGATTTCCGTTTGTGATCATGTGATCTTCAGTTAGGAGATCTTGAGATGCTTTTTAAAGCACAGTTGGGGTTGATTTCGAGTTCACATACAAACGTAAGTAGACTAGGCTAATTAAATTTGTCCATTTTAATGTAAGACAACATTTTTCGTCAGTGATAGAAATATGATTTAAGACAGTAGTGTAAGCACCAACAACTGATGAAGTACTGAATGCTGCACGCACGCGCAGCGTTGTCAAGGTAACATTTGGTCAGTCATTCCCTTCGCCAAAGGAGTTCCAAACGCTTATACGAGACAGTAATGCCCTACACCCTTCAAAGAACACACTTCAAGGGCTCTGCCCTTTGAAGGGAGTAGGGCATAGGGATACTCACTTCTGTTTGGAATTCACCCCTTATTTCTTCTGTCGTAAAAGTTTAGAAAAAATAAAAGTTTTGTTTTGAACAGTTGTTGTTGCTTGCGGTGATTCGAGCTCTTCGAATCACTGAATCATTTTGTGAATTAACTGGTTCAATTGACCCTGAGCTCCGTTTCTCTCATCCTTGCTTGCAAGAGACTGAATTCGTTTTTACGATAAATTGATTTACGATATAGGGATCGAAATAAGACGCGCTTTTTGTTACTCATGTGGATGCGCTTTACTCACAAACATAACGTTCATTAATGTTAGATAAAGCATTACAATGTTATATTCAATAATTGATTATTCGTTTTACAGTTCTTGCAAAAAACGATAAAATTATTTCTTCTTCTTGTAGCGTTTACTGGCGGTGGGCAAGCCAACTTTTGGTGCATTACCGTCACCAACTGAACTGGAGTGTGGAGTGACAATGAGAAGGCTTTATAAAAAAAATAAAAAAAATTACATACAATTATTCCTTATATTCTCATGAATTATTAGATAACTTATTATCATTCTTCTAAATTTTCTATTACCTAATATTAGTTCTAAAGTCATATTATTTGCACCTTCTTATTGTATCTTTGTTTCAAGCATCTGTCTCTCTTTACTATATGCTCTACACTGTAATAAAATATGCTCAACTGTTTCAATTTCGCCACAAGACCTACATAATCCAGAAGGATGTTTCCGGATTTTATGTAAATTTCCATTTAAAGATGAATGTCCTAATCTTAATCTTGCTATTATTACTTCTTCTCTTCTTTTAAAATCACTTACAGTCTCATTATTTTGAAATCCTACTTTCTTTTGGATTTTATACAAATGTCTACCTGTCTTCTCCGTATCCCATTTATGTTGCCAAGATTTAGTTGAACAGTTTGCTTAATAATTGTTTTTGCTTCTGCTTTGCTGATGTTTACATCAATTTCTACATTATTTTTATTCAACGATCTCTTAGCATGTTTATCTGCCATCTCGTTTCCATCTATTCCAACATGTGCTGGGATCCATAAAAATGAAACAACCCTGTCATGAGCATGAAGTCTATATAGCAGTTGCATGATTTCTATAATAATATCTTGTCTGCAATTTGATTGCCCCGACTGAATACTTCTTAGAGCCGCCAGTGAATCTGAGCATAAAACTGCTTTCTTAGTCTGTGTGTCTTCCAACCAATGTAAAGCTAAAACAATAGCAATCAACTCTGTAGTAAATACAGATAAGTAGTCTTGTGTTCTTTTTGCAATAATTACTTCTTGTTGTGGTATGACTATTGCTATTCCCGTCTTATTAGATTCTGGATATTTTGATCCATATGTATAAATTTGTACATTGTCATAGTATAACCGTTCAATATAATGATTTACTTCATTAATTGCACCACTATTTGATTTTTCCACTTCTAGTAGATACAGGTCTATTGCAGGCATTTTAAATAACCACGGTGGGAGTGCAGATATAGGCACTGCATCACTATATTTCCTATTCACTAAATCCATTGTTTGTGCCATTTCTTCTGCTATCCAACCAATGCTTTTTATATTTGCTCTCTCATGTTCCCAGCATTCTTCAAAAAATGTTTACTGTTGTGGCCTTTTAAAGATACCCAGTAAACCATTTTTAATTGCATTTCAACATTTACATTAGATATTTCAACATGCTATTAAACTGTTGTCAGTCAAGTTGTCATTTAAAATCTGAACATCATTGGTAATGTTATTATTTTAGTGATTATGCAAACAAAAAGCCATTTTATTTGTTGTTTGTTGATTTTTAAATATAAAACGTGCTGAAGTGATTTATGTGTCAGTACTTTTTGAACATCTCCAGCACATTTTAACAATACCGTGATAATACTGATAACCGTGATCATTTTGGTCACTATAACCGTGATAAGAAATTTCCATACCGTTACATCAAGTGCCTGCTGAACTTTCTTAACGGTTTAAGTTATATTTCTACCTCTTTTCCAAAGTGCACCATCATCTTCATATATTGACTTCCCCATTCCTTTTTCCACCTCATTAAATATATCATTGATCATTATATTAAATAGAAGGGGACTACAAACACTTCCTTGTGGAGTCCCATTTTCAACTGCATACACCCTAGAGTATGATTTTCCCACTCTAACCTGAATTGTCCGGTCAGATAAACTTATTTGAACTGGTTGCACGGATTTAAACACTGCTTAATGGTTAAAACACAAACCTTTCTTCAGGCGAATCGCAACAGATGCTGGAGCACAGCGCAGCCTTATGACATCACATCGCCAGATCAAAATAAAAGTCCTTTTCTTTTTCTTGCATTTGCAACTTGAAATGATTGCATACCGCCACCTACTGTACAGGAGTGTGTAGAGGAACTTGGCAGATACTTTACTTAAAAACATTTAAAAAATCACAAATTTTCAACAATTCCTAAATTCTTATTAATCCTGAATTTTTAAGGAATATAAACAAAGCTTTGAGTCTGTTTCTTTCCATCCCTTGTTCTCTAAGAATATCTTCAATTTCATTTCCATCTTCCATTTCTGTCTGTATTCATGGTATTTAATGCATCTAAATAAGACATGTTCTACATCTTCCTTAGTTTGACATCTTGTGCATAGTCCATTACTCTTCCCTACTATCTGCAATGTGTCATTCAGTCCAGCATGACCTAGTCTTAACCTTGAATATAACACTTCTTTTCGCCTGTTTGCCACCCTGTTGAAAAAAACAGCATATGCTGGTTAGGTATGTTTTGACGCTGGGATGCTGGTTTAAGCTGGTCATTTGCTGGTTTAAACCATACGTGCCATTTTCCCAGGACGCGTCCTGGCCAGGATTTGTTTTGGCTGTGTTTTCCTGTTTTCATGCTAGGGATGGGCGGATCGATCCGTAAGTATCGATACTTTCGATACTGATGTTGTATCGAAAGGATCGATCCTCACATAAAAATATCGATTCTAAAGTGCATTTTTTTAACCATTAATTTTATTTATTTATCAAGAAATTCAGTGCATAAAATAAGCTTCTAAGTGGAAAAATAGACTATATTAACGAATAATTGTGTTGGATAGAACCATTTCTCCTGCTCATCGGAACACACGCAAATGCTGAAAGACTGAACCAGCCAATCACAGACAGCCTTTTACGAAAAAAATAACCCTGGTTTTATTACAGTAACCACAGTTTACAACACAATAACATGCAAGCATTGTACATAATGGACCAATCATGGCGTGTGAGAAGGTGGGATCTACGGTCAGTGTTTTTGCCATATTTGCATTATTTAGGGTAACCATACGTGCCAAACAGTGTTTGACATCAAAGTACCTCGAGAGCGTTTCGAAAGCATAACCGTCTGTATGGTACTTTGAGGTCATACACCGATCGGTCTGCACACGCAAACAAAGCCAAAACCTAGATATTTTAGGCAATATAGAAATCATGGCCAGGACGCGTCCTGGGAAAATGGCACGTATGGTCACCCTAATTTAAATAATTTGACAATCTCCTCATATGTAATGTGATTCTTACCTTTTCAGTACCTTTGGGTTGTTAGTGATGCAGAAAAATGCAGTCCTGTCACCCGTTGAACCGAAAAGTAAAAATGGCCTCAGTCAAGAATCATGTCTTTAACAGCAAAATACACCTATTAGTCGTAAATTTTACTTAAATAATATCTCAAAAAGCCAATATATATATATATATTTTTTTTTTGTTTTGTTTTTTTGTTACAATTACAACTCAAATGAGGCATTTTTG